ATATTCGCGCACGTGGGCGCAGTTAGGAAGAAAACTTTCTTCATTTTTCGCCGTTGATCGGTGGAAAGTTTTCCATGAAATATCGCGCGAATCAATCGCCGACACGAATGGTCCCGATCCAACCATCCTTTCCACGCTGTCGTTCGAGTTCGAGAGAGGAGTAACGAGTCAGCTTCCAACGGCCGTTCCAACGCTTTGTCCTCCAAGCTTTCCTACTTTTCGACCAAGTTTCGCCTCGGATGGAACGAGCAAATCCTTCCTTCCTTCCTTCCTTCCTTCCTTCCTCTCTTTCTCTCTTTCGTCCAGGTGTTATTCACATCCGTGCCACATTTTTCGCTCGCTCTTCGATCGAACGCGTTAGGCTGACAAATCGTATCATTTCCATCGACCAATTGATTAAACGGCAATCCGTATCGACCGCTGTAGAGACGGTACAGCGAAAGCTAATCAGGCAATTTAAGACCGGTTCTTAAGCGGGTAACCGGTAGATGCGGCCGATTTTGGTTTGGTCGAGCGGCGTTGAAACGCAATAGGGATGGAGATAGAGATGATTTCGATGAACTTTAGATTTAGTCGGCTCAAACTACATCATCGTTCCGATTTCTCGCGTGTACGGCTTACTTTACATCAGCATTATCGATTCGGTTACCGTATAGGGTAAATTAATCCTCTAACGATACCGATCAATAACAGTAGAAACAGTGGATTATCGTGTCTTCTCTGCCGATATCGTCTCTGACGATAATTCTAATGGAAAGAAAGAAGAAGAAGAAGAAGAAGTAGAAGGAATGCAAGAAAAGGAAATCGTAGATTTATTATACCGTTTCGTGTACGGGGAAATCGAAAATCACCTCACCATTTCCGCTCTTTCTCAAGCGTCGAATGCAAAAAAGAGAGAAAAGAAAATTCGAGCACGACGACGCGTGAAATTTCCTCTTTCGAAAATTCGGGGCTTCGTTACACGTTAGACGGCCCGGTTGCTGTAAATCCATTCGATTTAAGCGCCACCGCGACAATAGCAATGTTTCCACGGCCAAATCGCCCATCTCCTCTCTCTTTCTCCCTCCATTTTCTCATCAATTTTCGCTCGTCGAAAAATCGTGAAGCTTGTATCCCGGCCGGGGATACAAACGACAGAGTCGAGGGGAGGAATCATCTCTGAAATTACACCCTTTCTAACCAAGCTTGATTCCGGTGAATAAAGGGAAACATCGTTTATCCCTCCGACTTTTGACACACTTTCAGCCTTGTCACGGACGAAAACCAATATACAGGGGGGCAAAGTCACCGGCTTAGCAGACGATGCCAATTTTTCAGTCGTCGCGCGTTCATCCAGTTCCCGGATCCATCCACGCTTTCATTCCGTTTGATAAGATTTTTTTCTTCAGAGTCGAGGCAAGTTTCGTCGGAAATTTTCGGAAATTTTGAGATATCTGTGAAAAATTCTGCTCTCTCAATCGATAATTCATCCATGTTTCTTTCTGTGTTCAACCGAGAAACATCGACGTTCTCGATCTCGAAGCGAATAATTTTGGTCTTTCTTGCCTCATCATTGCAACGATGAATTCGTATTTTCTCTCGGAGAAATGATAAAAAGAATCCAACGTAATCCCGTGTACGCATATCTCACGAGATTCTAGATGGCAAAGATCAATGTTCGAAACGCGTCCAAAAAAAGAATAATCTTGGTTCTCTTTCTTACATTTTATCTTGTCGTTGCAACAACATTTCACGATCGAAGAATCAATATCTAGTGTCTTTCTCTTGGACTGGTATGATTAGAAATCCAACGTCTCGTGAGATTCTAATTGGCAAAGATCGATGTTCGACAAGGCGAACACGTCCAAAAAAAAAAAACGAACAGTCTTTCTTATTATATTCCTCGTTGCAACGATAATTCCACCAACATCTCACTGATCGAAGAATCAATATCTAGCGTCTTTCTCTTGGACTGGCATGATTAAAAATCTAACGAGATTTTAAATAGCAAAGATCGATGTTCGACGAGATTCGTTCAAAGAAACGAATAATCTTGATTCTCTTTTTTACATTTTACCTCGTTGTTGCAACGATAATTCCACCAACATCTGATCGAAGAATCAATATCTAGCGTTTTTCTCTTGGACTGGTATGATTAGAAATCCAACGTCTCACGAGATTCTAGATGGCAAAGATCGATATTTGGACGAACACGTCCATAAAAAAAGGGACATTCTTTCTTATTATATTCCTCGTTGCAACGATAATTCCACCAACATCTCACTGATCGAAAAATCAATATCTAGCGTCTTTCTCTTGGACTGGTATGATTAGAAATCCAACGTCTCACGAGATTTTAAATAGCAAAGATCGATGTTCGACGAGATTCGTTCAAAGAAACGAATAATCTTGATTCTCTTTTTTACATTTTACCTCGTTGTTGCAACGATAATTCCACCAACATCTGATCGAAGAATCAATATCTAGCGTCTTTCTCTTTGAGGAGGGATGATAAAAAATCGAAAGTAATCGGGTGCACGCACATAGTCGCATCGGGTATGGTCGTGCGCTATGTGCTCGGTTTGTGGGAGTGGCAACACGTGTTTCCCATGTGTGTCAACCCGCAGTCGTAGGTAGTCGAGGAGAAAGGGGAATATCGGGGCGATATCGGGGCTGTACGAGTTCTCATAGAGGCGTGCTGCATACATATCGCCGGTTTGGTAGCGCCGCGTGGCACGAAGTGAGCGAAATCCCTAGAAAGCTGGAGGGGGAGGGAGGGGGCGTATGTGTGTGCACGTGTGTTGCTCGGTCTACTTGCATGGCGGAAGGCTTCTTTGCATCCCCGGGTAATTTTTCATAAGCGACGGTGAATGGCTTTTGTGGAAGGAACTTAGCTGTTACGCGGTATTCCTTTGACTTTTCGCTTCTATTAAAATACCGTTGATCGAAATGAGAAATGGTGGCGTAATTGTGGATGGAACGATTGCTTTTCGTAAGAAAAGAAAAGAAAAAGAAAAAGGAAAAGGGAATTTATCGATCGAATTTTTGGATTCGCGAACGAATCGATTTAACGATGGATTTTTGCTGTCGAATGATTGTCGATTTATTTTTTTATTGTTCGTTCACATTCGAAGAGACATTCTCGAAGGGAAAGTCCTCCCCTCGGAGCTAACAATTTATTCTCAGTATTTTCGCGAAAATATTTTTATTAAAAAAGCTGTCCGACAAAGAATTTTTCCATTTTTACGGTCACGATGGTGCGAAGCAGAAGCACATAGCGTTATTGTTCTCATTGATCGAAGTCTGGAAAATACTCGTAATTGCTCGTTGTCGTGTCGCGAAAGTAAAAAAAAAAAAAAAAAAAAGAAAGAAAATTTATTAAAAATTTCGAACGAACGAAATATTCGTGGCCCGATTCAAATATTCATCCACTTGGATAGAAAAACCAAGTCATCAGAAAATCGTTTCGATTATACGAACCGGTTATAATTAAGGAAGAATTTTCGCGCAAGGTAACGAAAGCTCGTTTTCCGGTTCTCGGATAAAAATTCGACGGTCAACACGCGCAACGAGGCGAAATTGTGCTCGCAATCTTTATGAATCCGCCGACGCGACGTAATTACGTCCCCGTTGCAACAAGTAATTCCCGAAACGCGGCGCTCGTTCGCAAACCGACCGAAATTCGCGCGTAAAGGGGGAATAGGGGAAACAAAAGAGAGAAATAGAGAAATGAATTAAAAACGATATTTCCGTTTCATTGATTTTTGCATTAACCCCCACCCCATATCGCCAAGCATTTTCACCTTTCGTTGTTTCACCTACACATATACAAGCACGAAAGCCACAGATTTAAAATACATTTGTTCCACTCTCGAAAACCATTTTTGTTTTTGTTTTTTTTTTCCCCCTCCCCTTCTCATACAGTGTTGTCGAAGCACCGTAGTCTAGATTACCGTAAATGTATACGCGTGATGAATCACTGGACGGACGACGAACGGGCGATATTTCCGCGTTAATATATGCACAAGGTACTCTGCATACATGGATGTTTGAGCGCGAGAAGGGAAAACGTGCGCGCGCGCCGTTTGACAAAAATCCTCCCTTCATGACGTACATTTAATTGCGAGAATTAAATCGAGCGATCGAGCGACTTGTCAGTTGAAATTCGCGTTCCGATCTCTTAAAAAATATATATATATATTTGAATTATACGTAAATATCTTTCCATTTCTTGAGAGGATATTTTTCTTTTTTCTTTTTTAAAGGATGGAAAATTAAATCGTCGCTTATCACACTGATAATTTTCAAACGCAATTCCTTCGAAAGCAAAAATATCTTTATTCCTTGATGTAAATTCAACGGTGTAAGCAATTTGTAATCACTTGAAACGACGTGCGTGGTCTCGCATCTCCGCTGGTAGTATCTTCATTAAAGGAAAGGAGCGGGAAAGGATAATTAAAAGTTTGACTGTGAAACTCGGGGAACGAAGCTCGAAGTGAAGAGAGGGGATGCAGCGCGACTCGGCCACCCCTGAATTTCCCTGTTATTTGCTCCTCGAAATTGCCCCGTCTATCTGCTTTGCCCTCGATCCCACGCGAGTCTTCCTTCCTTCCTTCCTTCCTTCCTTCCATGAATTTCGTTGTTCGGGGAGGGAGAAGCTTGGGATCGAGCTGATCCCAGCTCTGAAACGTTAATTACGGTTGTCTGAGGCCGCGACAAAGTCGGCGAAAGTTTGCCAGCGGGCTACACGGGATCCTCGGGGGAAGGCACTTTGATTTTGTCAACACGTGCATTCGTTACGCACGCAATTAAGGGAGAGCCGTGTTCGCGTATACGATCTTCTTTGACAGCTTCTGATATCGGAGTTTCAAGTTTTTTTTCCCTCCATCCCCGAACAACGTAATTTAATCGAATTCTCGAATGCTTTAACATCGCGAATATGCTTCCGCTTATCACGAAAATCATCACGATTAATCTTGCACGATCACGTGATTAACCAATAATCGTTTTTCTCCTTTCAGATATGTCGTACAAACCGCAGCGGCCCACTATCGAGGGTAAGTTGTTTCTCACTCTTTTTCCCCTCTTTCGAACAAAAATCGTTTTCGCGCTTTTCACATTTGATTTTAATATTGATATCAAATTGTCATGCGATGCTTCCTTATAAAATAACTAAAGCAGACTTCTCGCCTTTCGCGTCTCGGCAAATTACTCGGAACGAATATACATATTGAAACGTGACGATCGCTTCGTAGGAAAAAAAAAAAGGAAAAGAAAAATAAAGAAAAAACGACGTAGCAATCGCCACTTTATAACAGGTTTCAACAGCACGATTTAAATTGGCCGGCACGCGATATTTTAGCCTCCTTCGTTGACGGACAGGAGGATAACTCGTTCGTCTTTCAGCCGAGCTCACGACTCAATTACATCGGGATCGCGGCCGACGAACGGTGAATTTCGAGATGACACCGTTTCGAATTCCAACCATCACGCCAACCATCATCGCGCCGACAATCTCGAGTTAAACGAACGCTCGTGTTCCTCGAACTTATTTTTCTCCACTCGCGATCGCGATTATTATTGCGTTCCGTGCGGCCATCCTCGCCCGCCTATCGCGAGGCTGGCAATTTTTCAGTAGTCGAGCCATAAATACGCGAAATTATCGCGTCGTTGCGTGAATTTGCGCGTTCCCTATCGTTTGAAATGATATGACAACGCTCGTTCGAAATAAAAATTTTCTCACGGTGAACTCCCCCAATAAAAAGGTGGAGGAAGAACAATTATCATCTCGCTTATCCGTTTGAATATTTTACGAGGGGAGACGGATGTCGTTTGACGGCGCGTCTAAATAGAGATAGATAATTCGTTCGAGAGGTTTCTTTCTTTCTTTTTTTTTTTTTTTTTTTTTTTTAAACACAGCAGGATGTATTTATCGTTCTTATTCGATCATTATCTCTCGAAGTGGTGAAAAGGTACACACTTTTATGAAACGCCGTTACAAATCATTCTGTCAAACGCGTTATGCGGGGCGCCCTTTTTCAACCCCCCCTCTCACGCAATCCCTCTATTGTTACACCGGTTCCGTGTATTTGCACGTATATTATCGCCGCATTTCTCCATGTGAATTTTCGTTCGAAATATTTGCATTTTGTGGTCATTGTAACGCGCGGATCCACCACCATTTCCGTTTCATTGTTCGGATTAATCGAAATTTTTAGATTTAACGAATAGAAAATTGGGAAGGCAACTTTTTTTTTTTCCTCTCCTCTGATGAATTAATACTCGTGGTAAAAACTTAAAAAATGTAATACCGACAAAATTTAGAGTTTGGAACAAAGCCCTCTTCCCTATATATATACTATATATATATACGTATATATTTCGATATTTTCGCGAGACTAATAAAACGCGGGAATAATTACAGGCCTGAAACTCTATCCTGTCGCGAGATTAAAATTTTCTCGATCATCCCGAGCCAAGCGAGTTTTCCTTAATTGCTAAACTTTAAAGAAATATCCCCGCGAGAAAATAACTTTAAAAGGGGGAAAACTCTCCTCCTCGAAAACTTCTTTGTCCCCTATTCGCGTGTATACGCGATAATTGGCAATTATGTTCAAATCTACCACGAACAACCAATGATCGATCTTTAAACCCGCGATCACGGGTTCATTAATCAAATCCCTCTTTTCCTCCCCACCCGTGACGTTGCATAATTCTCGGAATTCGGTCTGGAAAAGGGGGATAATGAGGTGGGGAGAGGGGGGTGGGGGATTGACGAGCGGCGTTGAAATCGTTACATCGTACCCCCTTAACAAGCGTAAGTAGAAATTTACTTTATCGTGGGAGGGGAGGTAGGTGAAATTCGTAACTTTCGTGAAACGTCGATTATCAATTATTAGAGAAGTTTTGGAGGTTTTGGAGAAGCGAAGATCGCCAAGGACGAGTTACACTATTATTCGAATAGTTGGAACGATACGATCGGTTTCGGCAATGCGCACTGCGGATATCCCCCTCCCCAAGTTTCAACATCCGGATATTGAATATGGTTAGGCGGGAAATTGGGAATATTCCGGATACTTGGGATGGCTGTTACTTCGGGCGAACGTTAGATGTTTCGATGACAACCGCCGGCTCCCGGCCAATTAGTTTTGAATTCCCCGTAAATCAGCCGCTCGCCGTTCGATTTAATTGGGAACTGATTCCGACGCGACTGTCAAATTTCACTCGCATTATTACCCGAACCGATGAAACGCAGCTCACGATATATCATATTTCTTAAAGATTTATTTATTTATTTATTTCCAGGGTGTTCGACGCCCTGTCGAATGCATTATTTGAATAGGAAAGTATCTGTGTGTGCGTAACGATAGCCCGATAGAGCGCACTCTTTCTCTCGTTTCGTCGAGCCAACACTCGGCAACCAGTCAACCAGCCAGCCAGCCAGCCAGCCAGCCAGCCACCCATCGTGCCTCGAGTATTTGCATTCGGAATCGTACAAACGTTCTAAGAAGCTTCGCGTTTTCGAGTCGGCGTTTCCCGGGGAAAAAGGCTCAGGAATATCCCCGGCTATTTTGTACCCTCGGAATCGGCAAATTTATTCCATTTACGAATAGCTTTCCAGCGAATGTAATTTTTATCGGTTCTCATCTCCGCCAGACCAACCGCCGCCCGTTTTCCATCCTTCGTGGAAAGGGATGAGGAGGGATTCCGCATAATTCGAATAAATAATACAGCACGCTAACGAGATACCGTATCTCTTCGCTTTCCCCTTGAAACAATATTCAGCTCTCCGACTTTATTCACGGCACGCGTACCATTATATGTATATATATATATATATATTTTTCGCCCTAACTCGGTTACGAGTTACTGCGCCGTTTTGCAAATGTATTCATGGTATCCGGTCGAACTCTCGAAATTTAATTGAACAAAAGAATTCTTAGGGATCGCGAAAAAAGTATACCGAATAGAAGCAAGGGGTTAAGAGGTTGCGATGAGGGGCAGATCGTTGGTGAAGTGGCGTTATACTTTTAAAAAGTTTTTATGTAGGAGTAGGGCAATTTTTCCCTCTCTCTCTCTCTCTCTCTCTTTCTAGAAAGGAGATCGAATCGGCGAAGATAGTGAGATTTCAACTCGGATGTTTTTATTCGTTAAGTAGGTCGAATTAAATTCTTCTTCTTTTTCCGTATTGTTTGTCTCTTCTATAGAATTTGCATTCTTTCTTTCCTCGATTCTTTGATACGTATTATTCGAGCTTAATGAGGGAGGAAGGGGAGGGGGGAGGCTTGATGTATCTCGTTCACCGTAATTTTCAAGCTAATATTGAGCATCTAATGAGAAAGTACGAGCGTGAGAGTAATTATGCGAGCAGCGTGGGCGGCCAGACACTCGTGAACTTTCGATTTCCTCCCTTAACTTTCTACGTGCACGCGATATATCGAAAAATGTTTCCAACCACTCGGCTTAATTAAAGGTTTATCGCTTCACTTTTCATTTGGAGCATATATATATATATATATTTTTTCAAACTTCGAAATATTACCCTTCGATTTTCTATTCGCCAAAATATTCGCCCGATATTTCCAAAGAAGAACCAATCCCCATTTCATCATTTTTCAACGTTTCGCTCACTCGTCCAACTTTTCCTTCGAAATCTCCCGTTTCTCTTTCGAAAATCGCATCGAAATACGTAAACATGTCCAGTGAATTTCATCGTTCAGGCAGCTCAACGCTTTCTCGCGCTCCACGTTTTTATCCACGAAACGATGCACGCCCATCAACGGTCACCGATATGCCAATTTGTTATCCCTCGAGGGTGTATCGCGACACGATACGCATCAGTCACATTACACGAATCGCTCGAATCTACGTTGAATCGCGTGCATTCTCGCGGGCTATCGTTCGAGTATGGTTTCGCGATTAGACTCGAAATCCTTCACCCTCGAACGAGTTCCAATTCGAAAAGGGCAATTATATTAATAATTCTCTCTCTGCGCATCTCGAGTGAGTGCGGATAATCATTGTTCGCTATTCTTTCGATCGAACGTGCAATGGAAATATCGTTTTTTCCCGTTTATTCTTTTGCGAACATTCAAAGAGATGACGTGATGATTTCTTAACTCGAGTTGGCGATGCATTTATTTAACTGGGATATTTAACGGAGATTACTGAGTTTAGAAGAGATCAGAGTTCGAATAGAGGCCAAGATAACCGAGCTATCGTTAAATTTTGAACGAGGATTCGATGTGGTTCGCCACGGCGAAGCGAAGTGATATCAAGAATCGATTCGATATCGTTATCAATTTAAAGGAAACTTTTATCTTTCTTTACAGCGTCTCAATCTTAAAATCTTGATCGTAAAAATACAATCGATAAAACTTTACGGGAAATTGTGATCAGACGCAACCCATACCCAAGGATTGACTTCGAACGGGGGAAGGGAAACAAGGGTAGGGAAAAGTTCCATTTATGCTTTATGGTCGAAAAAAGGGCCTTTCCCTTTGGATGGAAGGGAGGAAAGAGCCGCGATTCCATAGAGATCACTGGACGAAAAAGAGCAGAGACAGAGAGAGAGAGAGAGAGAGAGAGAGAGAGAGAGAGAGAGTAGAAATTCCGCCAAAAATATTCTACGACAGCGGGTGCAGTTACTATAAATCGCTGCGCCCCACCCCACCGCTTACACGCCCCGTCGGTGGTGCGAATGCGAGTAAGCCGAGTCGAGAGGGACGGAGGGGGAGGGCAAAGGTACGCAGCGGTTGGGCGGAGGGGAAAAAAGGAAGAGTCCGGCCGATAAATTACACGCGTAGAAAAAACCGTGGCACCGCAACCGTGGCGGTGGAAAGGGAGGAGGAATCGAGAGAAAGAGAGAAAGAGAGAGAGAGAGAGAGAAGGAAAGAGCGAAGAGGGGAGAATTGTCGGTTCACGCGATATAAATAGAGGAGGGTGTGCGGAGGCTTTTTACGAGTTTTTCTGACCCCCTCTTCGAAACCACCACCTTACACTGGCCGGCATTATCGAGCTGCTCGCTAATATCAGCCACGAAATTTCACCGAACACC